AGATCCCTTTCCTCGTATGTCAATACAAGATCCATCTCCAAACTTCACCTTTCCCGTGACACGTTCATTAAGTTCAAAGAAGTAAGCTTGATTACCGGTCATGTGATTCGATGCTCCGTTGTCGAGATACCAAATATCTTTCTCCTTTGGTTCAACCTCGAAACGCTTTGGAATCACCCCTTCTTCATTTAGAAAGACATTCTCTTGATCACATCTCATCATGAACAAAGATGGATCCAGAACATCAATTTCAGCTAAATTAGCTTCCTCTTGTTTCTTCGTACGCTCCGGGCACACTGATGCAAAGTGACCGAATTTATCACATCGAAAACACTGAACCTTTGATCTATCCTTTCTTCCTTTCTGACGATCATTGGTTCTTCTTTCACCTGTTCGTTTTGACCCATGATCGTGACCATCTCGGTATTGACTTCCATCTTGGTCATCATCATCCTAGTCTTGGTCTCTTCCTCGATATGAGAGTCATATGAGAAACATATGAGAGTTTATTGTAATTGGTTTTGAGTTATTTTCCAGTTATAATAAAGAGATTGTTTCCAACAGCAATTGACCATTATAGTCTGTGCTTTTGGTGCTTTTTATTATAATGATCATCGCCACCTTAATCCAACTGTGAAGGGGTGGGCAGCATACAATTCATAGCGGCAATTAAAACCATTTGACACTATCCATTCATTTAGAACATTATTGTATCCAAGCTTCACACTGGATTCCCTTTGCGTGTAGCATGCATGGGGAGATAAAATTAAAAATAGTGACAACATCAGAAGTTTGTCATTTTCACAAAATATATCACGAGACAGAGTTGATATATTGATTCAGGCTCGGGGAACAAAATCAACATATGAATCTTGAAGCTAAACTACTGTAGCCAATCGGCAAATTGGAGGGGGGAACCATCAACAACAATCATTTAAATACAGATATCAACCTATAATGCACTCAATTTCACAAAATTGAAGTAAATTTTACCTCAATTCTCAATAAATGTCCAATTAACAAACACAATTTCAACTAAAATTACACCTTAAATACTATCAATTTCACAAAAAACTAATACAATTTTTACCCAATTTCATGTCAATTTCAACTCATATTCACACAATTTAAACTAAATTTCACCAAAAATGCACTCAATTTCACACAAACAAATTCAATTTCACCAAAAATTACAATAATAATAAATTGTATAAAATTAAACAAAATACCTTACCTTGAAATTCACGGCAAAGAGGACCGGAAGGGAAGACTGGCGGTCGAGTGGCGGCAGTGGCGAGTGGTGGTGAGGGAACTCGGTCGAGGGCGGCGGCGGCGAGGGCGCCAGGGCTGGCGCGGCGCGACGAGGGAGAGGGCTGGCGCGGCTGGACGGCTGACGGTCGAGGGATCTGGCGCGGCATGGGCTAACACTGACATCGGTGGCGGCGAGGGCGGCGAGCGTTGGCGCAGCACGGCGAGGATGACGACGAGGGAAGGCGCGGCTGAACGGCTGACGGGGGTTGAGGGATAGACTTGAACTGATTTTGATTTTGCGTTGTGAGACTGAGATTCGATTTTAATTAAACCCCTGCGACGGAATGGATTCCGTAGCAGATTCTGTTGTAGTTTTGCGACGGAATAATAAAACCGTTGCAGATTTTCTGTGCAAAAATTGACCATCTTGGACGTTTTCAAAATTGTGACAGAACCAAAATTTCCGTTGCAGATCGGCGACGGAATATGTAATTCCGTCGCAGATAATTTTCATTTTTCATGAATAATTCGTCCGTCGCAGATTCATTGCAGATCTGCTACGGAAACATGTTCGTAGCAGATTTCCGTTGCAGACCAGAAAAATTCTTGTAGTGTATTTTCTACATGGTATCGGAGCAGTTGCTACTGCCCGCAACTGGTATCTACACAAAATGGATCTTCATAATGCAGGACTCTTCCTCCCGGTTTTGCTTCTCGGGGAAAAGGGCATGTTTTCCGTTTTCATAAATCTTTCTCCGGCCTTCGTCAAGCTCCACGTTGTTGGTTTGCTAAACTCATCTCTTCTTTGAAACACTTTGGGTTTCAGCAATCCAAAGCTGATTATTCACTGTATATACGCGTGGTTCCATTGAGCTTCGTGTGCTGGTGTATGTGGATGACCTTGTTATTGCAGGGAATGATGAAGCTTTTATTGATCAGTTTAAAAAATATCTCTCCGATTGCTTCCTTATGAAAGATCTTGGCCTCTTAAAATACTTTCTGGGTATTGAGGTTGCCCGAAATTCCAAAGGGATATTTTATGCCAACGCAAATATGCTCTTGATATTTTTGTGAGACTGGTTTTCTAGGTGCACGACCGACTTCCACTTAGACGTGTGCAAACAAGGGTCGGCCCGTCCGGCCCGCCCAGCCCGCCCTTTAAAATGGACGGATATGGACAATCTTTAATACCCACATGGGCGGGCCGGCCTAAGCCCGAATTGTATTTGGGCGGATCTGGAAGTTACTTTTAGCCCATCCGGGCCAACAGGCCCGCCCATATTCATTAAATACATTTACTTTATTATTAATTATCTAGACAATATAAATTTTAAAATTTTCTTTAATTCATGTATAATAGTTCATATCACTCATTCTCTTAAACAAAAATCAATAGTCTTTTAATGAATCTGTATGATGGGTTTATTAATTATGTAACAAGATTTCTATCATATTTTCTATGTAAATGTGGCGAGTGGTAATTTTATTTTAAACATTTGAAAACGAGTTCAATATTTTCTTTTTGATATTTTTGTGTAAAAAAGATTTTCTTGATGTTTTATCCTGGTCGGGCGGCCCGGTGGGCAGTTCGACCCGCTAAGGTGGGCGGGAATGGGTAAAAGAGTTTAGCCCATCAAATCCGGGTCGGGCCAAGCCCGCCCATGTAAATGAGCTAATAATTTGTATCAAGCCCGGCCCGGATCCTTATTTGCACGGGTCTACTTCCACTCATCCTCCTCAGAATCATCGTCTGGCTCGAGCAAGTGGTCCGCTCCTACAAGATCCGGCGCGTTATCGCCAGCTAGTTGGCTGCTTAATCTTCCTTACTATTAGTCGTCCTGATCTGGCCTATGTTGTCCACGTGCTATCACAGTTTATGGGGGAACCAGGTCAGGAACATTGGGATGGTGCAACCCAGGTTCTACGCTATATCAAGGCCCGGCCCAGACAGGGGTTGTTTCTCCTCGTACAGAATGATCTTACACTTCAAGCCTATTGTGACTCTGATTGGGCTGGTTGTCCTTTGACATAGCGTTCTGTTACAAGTTATTTTATCGGTCTTGGCAATTCCCCGGTGTCTTGGCGAACAAAGAAGCAAAACGTAGTTTCTTGGTTTTCTGCAGAAGCCGAGTACCGGGCCATGGCAACCACAATTTGTGAATTAAAAATGGTTGAAATCTCTTCTTCTGTCTCTTGGAGTGCGTCACAAATAGTTCATGCGGTTGTTTTGTGATAATTCGGCTGCTCTCCACATCGCAGGATTCGCAGCTGGCCATATTTTTCATGAACGCACAAAACATATTGAGATTGACTATCACTTTATGCATGATCAAATTCAGAAAGGTGCTTTGTGTGCCAAGCATATATCCACCACATATCAACCGACAAATCTTTTTACAAAGGCTTTGACTTCCACTCCATTTTCACGCTCCATTTTCACATTTGCTGTCCAAGCTGGGCAAACAAAATCCGCATGCTCCAACTTGAGGGGGTGTTGGGACGTGTGAGTCCTGACACAAAAAGGAAAGGATTGTTTTGTTTCCTTATTGATTATAATTCCTATTGTAGTAGGAATAGAATTATGGTAGGAATAGAATTATAGTAGTTTACTTATTTGATTTGTTTTCCCCTCTGATAAAAAGGGGATCAATCTTTTGTATTGAACAAGCCAATTCAATATACAAAATATTTTCTCTTATTATTTTCTACAATCAATGTTACAGTCAGAACATCTGATATCCATCGTCATCTTCACTTGTTCCAATAAAACAAATAATTGCTAGCACGAAAACGAAGAACGACGAGAGTTCCATTGCCATGGCTCCCCAACCAATTACACCAGAATGCTTTAAGATAACCGGTATTGCTATGCTTCCCACTGTTGAAACCCCAGTTAAGAATTTAGCTGCATCGATCCAACTGCAATGGTGAAGCAGCAAGACAGAAAATATGCTGTTAATCAGCTGTGTATGATTGCTCTGTCGTAGAAACTGCACTATATAAAGAAAGAGTCTTACCCGTTTGAAGACTCCGAATAGAGAGATGAAGCATCTGACCCAGCAAAGAAAACCAGTGGCATTGGCAGTAAGACATACATTATCACTGGAAATATCTAAGGTAAAATTCAGGTATTATACGAACAATAAACCTTTGATCATTCAACCAAGCACTCCGTATTTTACTAAAGCAGCGCTGAAAGGCAAAATATCAATAAGGTTCTGCTCTTGGCTAACATATGGGATTGCACTGGTCATTGTGGTAAGCTGCTGCCTGGCTCTTACCCCACTGCGACGGTGGTTGGCTTTCTAGGTTTGATGATGATGATGACGACGATGATGATGATGATAAGCCCACAAATCTTTTGATAGCCATTTTGGGTGTCATGATATGATGTGGGGGTCCTACAGTACTCCAATGGGCCTAAGACCAGGTCCTACACACTTAACCCACCCCCTACATCCCATATCCCCCCCCCCAAAACATTTCGGCGAAATAGTATGGGTTTGTGGGGTGGGCTGGGGGGTAGCACCTTATCCCGGGCCGAACAGAGCACCATATTACCCTCAAGTGGCTCGGTGTCATATTTCAACACTGAGTTAAAGTGAACAAGCTATTATTGCTTTTTCTTTCCCTGATCATCATGGTTACAACAAAGAAAAACGCAGAACCATACACTCATTTCAATAGTGTGAAATACATGAACCAAGGGTAATTTCATGTGTTCATTAAAAACACATGATCATCAATGTTTATAGATCTTAAAATCTCACTAACAAAAACTAGAAGCCTATATCAATGTTTTTTCACATAGTGGGAAAATACTACCTCTACAATCAAATTTCAAAACCATTTAATAAAATCTACTAAAACAAAGGAGAAATGAAAGACACGCACTAAGAATTGAATAGCTGTGCAGCTTGTGGTATTATAGTCATCATCAGAACCACCACCATGTTAGTCCGAGCTCCAAATAGGGTTGGGTTGGTGACATAAATTTACGGTGTATTATAATTAGATGTCTAAAATTTAGACTATAAACTCAGAGTTTCAGACAATCTAGTGGGAATTTTTTACATCAAAGGGCCTTCTTGTTGCTCCTTTCTTGAGAAGGAAAAAATGATCAAAAAATTCGAAATCAGCCTCATCATCAGTTTTTACAGTCACAAAAAAAAATAATGGGATGATGATGAGTTGAGATACAGAGATAGTAACATCCATTGCCAAATTACTAACGTAAAATCATGATACCTCTTGGTATAAATTGGTATCTTCCATTAAGGTCTAGGGGTATAAAGGGAACACACATCAGATGCATGCAACTTATTCACTGTCAGTATTTCCAATTAAGTAAAATTTCTAAAAGAACTACGGAGTAATATACATATTGGCAATTACTCTGTTCTTAAATAAACTTTTTGTTTACTAGTCACAAGTCAAACTATATCTTTGTTCTTTACTTATTTACTTTAATCATTTGATACAAGAAGATAATCATGTAGCCTCTTGTTTTATACGCCCTTTATCCCTAAAGAAAGGGGTCAATTTTATATATTTTTATGTGCTCTAATATTTTTCAAATCCACGTTGGAGTTATTCAATATCCCTATGTATTGCAAACTAGATATTGTGTTTGTCATCTCCAACAATTATCATTAATTAATAGCCAATGAATTGAATAAAAAAGTTAGATGATGATTTTCAAGAGTAAATGCGCAAGTTTCAATGTGAATATTAATGGGAGAGAAATAATAATAAAGATGGTACCTCCTAATTTTTGTATTGTTTCAAGGTTTGACACTTTTGCAGGGACGGAAGGAGTATAGTTTTTTATGTAGTTTTAAAACAAATCAATTTTATTTTCTAATTCTACATCAACATTTAAATAAATTGAATTGAAAATAACTTCATTTAAACACCGTGAACCAAACCAAAAAGTGTATTTGGGGATAGAGGGAGTAATTGATATTACTTCCGATGTACTTTGTATCACTATCTTGTCCTATTATACTATTTTTGTCTTACACCATATTTGGTAACATTTGTGGCTCAAATTGATTCTTACTTTTCAACATTAACATCAACCACAAAATTTCACTAAAATAGCAGAATGGAGGGAGTGTCATTCATCTATATACTTGGAGAGCAGAAAATAGTGAAGTAACACCAATATATAATCCATTACTTCTAGTACATAAACGGTATCCACGTAGAACGTGACTCGACTTACCTGTTAGCATTGGCCACCAGTTATTATACAGAGCACATGCCTGGCAAATAATATGGAGTATAAGACAGCTTATAGAAATGACTAAAGAAAACTGTTGTGCATAAACTCCATCTCTAAAACATTTTCATTTCTTTTAAACCAAAAACACAGGAGTATCTGTGAAAAGGACTTACCAGTATTTGCAACACAATCCCCCCCGAGACTAAAACTGCCAAGGAAGCTAGCTTCCCAGTTTGTAAGCAGGCTCTCAAATACCCTGGCAAGTCTGACATGATGAACCAGCTCAGCTCATAAAGCAGGCTTGCTTGAGAGTGTATCAGAAAAATCTCTGAGCAAGAAGAAAAAAAACAGATGAATTAAATGGAGAAGAACAAATAGCAAGCATGTCTTCCTGAAATGAAGGCATATTGCATAAAATTAAGTTATCCAATCCCTAAAGTCATGATTTCACAAGAAATTATCGGGAACCCATATTATATAAAAGCAAGGGTTAACTAAAGCTTCGCTTCGGAACAACATTTGTGATTAGCATTAGCTTTTTGGATTATTTTTTAATAATTTTTTTAATGATGTAAACTAATCTTGAAAATGCTTAAGCTAAAAGCTACATTTGGATTGCATTTTCAAAACTATAAGGCTAAACGCTAAAGCTAATGCCAACGGGGGCTAAGAGATTGATGGCCTCCAATAAGATGAACATTGTGATAGATGCTTAATTATGTTGGAATTTTAATAGCGTAAGACACTGAAAATATTGAGAATGTCAGAAAAATGAGGGAACAAACACAAGAAGAATATATGAGAGATTAGTTATATTTCCACTTTTTCAGTACAATATACAAAAAAAACTCTCCCTTGTTAATAAGGCTAAATTCCAAACACTCATAAAAAGACTTTTCCACATTTTATACCCAGATGTATTTGTTTGAATAAATAAATACCAGTTATTTCCTACACTCAACCACACTCATCAAGACCCATTGGATTTTCCCGGTAGTATTCTTGTGTAGAACCTTCCTCGTGTTTCTCTCTCTACGTGTTGAAAACCCACACACACAACACTTTGGTAAAGCCCTTGTTATATCGCCAAATGGAATAGCCATATACAGAGTAACCAAAAGTCCAAAACAAAACCAACAAAGATTGGTGACAAGCTCCTGGACCCACCTCCACCGATAGCAAGCTGTTGTGCTATTTCGTTGCTTTCTTCTTCTTATTTCTTTGTTTTCCTTTTTTTTCTTTGATTATTAAATCAAATCTCAACAAACTCCACCTTGATTAAATAATCAAAAACTTAATAGCTCCCCCTTACTTTCCCTGTGAGATCACCGCTATCTCGAAAGAGAAAACAAACTCATTGGCTCCATCTCGATTTGTTCCCAGATATCACCGCCAACCTCAAGGAAAAAAATCCCCGTGGCTCCACCTCAATCAATTCATTGAAATCACCGCCACATTGAAAATTATCTCGTGACTCGATCTTACGCGAATTCCGCATGTATCCGCCACCATGTGTTGCCTCTGTGGCTCCACTTTGCTCAATACCACAAGGTCCTTGCCGCTTCCAACTACCATTGTACCCGTGACTCTATCTCAATTCTCAACCAACCCCGTCAAGATCCCTGCCAATACCTTAGATCCACAAAGTTTTAATCATCCACCTCGAGCTAAAAAAAATGACAACTCACCTTTTTCACACACCAAAACCAACGACTCTGAGACCACCCCTCTAGCAATTAGCTTGTTTCGATCAGCCCACTTTGCACCGCCGCAACAAGACCTACAGGACACGCTGCCCGACCAACTTTTTTGTCATACATAAACCATAGATCTTCACTCTGCTAAACCACAAGTCTCCTCAGGTCCTGATCGTGCACCATACTTCACAAAGCCAGCATGTCATTGGCTTCATACCTAGTCCCCTCCACTTTGTTCCTGAAGTCCCATGGTTGCATTCTAGCCAAAACTAGTTTGTCCCTAGGCTCTCAAAATTTCTCCTTTTACCGCTTACAAAGCCCTCCTGCACAACCAAGCTCCGATACCAAATGTTGGGATTTTAAGTGAGTAAGACACGGAAAATATTGAGAATGCCAAAAAAATGAGAGAACAAACACAAGAAGAATTTATGAGAGAAAAATTATATTTCCACTATTTCAGGGTAATATACAAAAAAACACTTCCTTGTTTGCAAGGCTAAATTCCAGACACTAATAAAGAGACCTTTCCACATCATATACCCAAATGTATTTGTCCAAATAACTAGATACCAGTTGTTCCCTACACTCACCCAAACTAACCAAAACCACTTGGATTTTCCCGGTGGTATTCTTGTGTAGAACTTCCCCCATGTTTCTCTCTCTACGTGTTGAAAACCCACACACACAACACTTTGGTAAAGCCCTTGTTATATAGCCAAATGGAATAGCCATATACGGAGTAACCAAAAGTCCAAAACAAAACCAACAAATATTGGTGACAAGATCCTGGACCCACCTCCACCGAAAGCAAGTTGTTCTATTTCGTTGCTTTCTTCTTCTTAATTCTTTGCTTTCATTTTTTTCTGTTTCTTTGATTATTAAATCAAATCTCAACGAATTACAATTGAAAATTTCATGTGATGGGACCAAATGTACAATCATAAATGAGTATCCTTCCAAATCTCTTAAGCTTTGAAATGACTTGGAAGTGTGGAGCACCTGATTCAATATGGTTCAAAACATGTAAAATATCCTAAGTTAGAAACCCATGAGCAATTTGCCATCCAAGCATTTCCTAGAACCTGGTCTGCTAAAAAGTCCAGCTCCTTCATAGACACACAACACACACAGGTTGTATAATTATGTAGATCATAAGGATGTGTCTTACAAGGGCTTTCCTAACCTTTGACATTATCATGATGACATCATCGTAATGACATCCCCATAATGGCTATGTCATCTTCTCTTATGAGTGTAGATGGCTATAAATATAGCTCACTTTTGCAATTATGGATCAGAACAAAATAACATTATAGTTTCTCCCATGGTATCAGAGGCCAGCTTTGACATT